GGGGGGGGTGTGCGCCCGGTATTTTTGATAATAGCGGTCATCAGCGGCTTCTGAGCCGCTGATGACAGCTATTAATTTAAAGGGGACAGTCTGCTGAACAGTTATACTATAAGCTGATGGTCGCTAAAGCAACCATCAGCTTATAGTAGAACTGTACATGCCAGGTCCGTATGGCATACTGACCTGGCCAGCTGGAAGCACTTTTGTAGGTCCGTATGCCATACGTCCTTGGCAGCGAAAGGGTTAAAGGGGAAATGCTGTGTCCTCACATCTGATGTCATCAGTACTTACTATCACTCAAGTATACATGTTTAGATGGGGACAGAGCTGGATCAGGCTACCCTTACAGCAACAGATCATTGCAATTGTTATCTGTTGCTGTTGATAACAGCAAACAATGGAAAACTATTATCAGTGATCTTTTGATGAATATGTACATGGGGGTGCTGGATCAGGTCTCCTCTGACCTATAAAGAAAAAAGTGAAAACAAAATGAAGAATCACTCTCTAATCTATCCTATGCATGTACACATATAGGGTTGACAAAAGGAGTAGAGCATCAGGAGGAATCTGCAGCTCTCCTATGCGATTGGTTCCTGATTGTGTGATCAGCTTGACAGCTGGTGATGACATGGGTTTGTTGACAATACCAACTGGTTGGTTGAGCTGTCAATATACCATACACAGAGAATGGTACAATGGCAGCTGAAGCTGAAATAAAAATACAGTAAAAAAAACAAAACAAAAAACAATTAAACAAGCAAAAAAATATATATCTTAATTACTAATGAGAACAAAATGCATTTTTAAAATATTTTCTTCACTCATTTGTCAGCTTATAAAAAAAACCTTAGTAGGAGATGTATTAACACAGTGTGCCAAATAAAAGCCTTATATGTCCTTAAAAAATATAAATAATATTTATTTTACATATTCATATTAAATAATATAAACAAAAATTTAGTTTGACAAATTAGTTACAGAGGTGTTGACAAGTTAACCAATGTATGCTGATGCTGCTATATTTGGCCTAGGCATTTGGGTTTCAATGACCATTGGTCATGAAGGAATTCAAGGATATGATCACAAATGCAAAGTACTTAAAACCTGGTAATCTTTGGTTCTTCCAAAAACAGAGTTTAGCATCACATGTAAGGCCTGTTTTGCTTCTTATACACAGCTTTTCTTTGTCTAAATTTCCATTATGTCTTAATCCGCTCACCGATAATATATTAGGTAATAACATCCACAAAACAAAATCAGCAAAAAGTGGAACAGCAATCAAGGATATTGGTTTTATATAAAGTGGGAAAGAGATAGAACCTTAGTCAGGTTTTATGTCACTTTGTTCTCACTGGGGATATTTCTCCTCATTCTTGTGTGGACAATGAAACAGGAAGTAAGGGAAATTTCAGTAGAGACACATAGAACAATAAAAACCGCAGTTCCCTTCTCTACTTAATCCAAAACTTAGTGGTTCCACCTCTTCGATGCATGTGCTATTTAGGCAATGTTATTAATAATAATAATAATAATTACCTGACTTTGGATATGTGACTAGAAACACATCACTGTCTCTTATTTCCATGTGTTCCAGAGAATCTATGACTTCAGGTGTTGTGACGTCAGTTTGAAAATAAATGCCCTTATGCTTGAACACAAAATAATTCAGTGCCTCTTCCAGACCTTCCTGTGCCATTGTACTAAACCTGCAAGTTCAACAATTGTATGGTTTCACACAAAAAATGTACAATGTAAATGTTCATATATTACACAGTATTAAAACAGGCCATACCCTTCTGCCCTCTGTTTTTTTTCCTTCACCAACGTGTAGCACAAGTGTATAGTGTATGAAGGGTCAGAAAAGTGATATTTATAGAAATCCTGGATAACTACGGTGCCAGCCTGTCCATGTAAAAAAAAACAAAAAAAACACCCAAGTATTTGATTAAATCTGAACCCTGTACCTTTGCTGTTTATAATATCATCCAATTCCACACTAAATGGTAAAACATGTGACTGGTTAACTCTGATGTCTCCTTTGAAGTAAAACTAGCGCACGTTGTGTTTGCGGTTCGTTTTTTTTTAAAGCTGAACTCCAGGCAGATTTAAAAAGACAGTATATCAATAATAAATCATAAAATGTATTTTTAGATTAAAGCAGTGTAAGTACCTGAGTTGCATCTGTTATTCGCCTCTTGTCCATGTAAAGCAAGGCTGGAGTGTGAGAGAAAGAAGCAGCGCAAGGAGCCAATCAGTTCTTGAACTGACAAGAAGAATGCGGATAGGATGAGAAAGCACAGTGATAGAGATTAGCTCATCATTGTGCTGCTTCTCCTTTCAATGTCCAATAACAAATTAAATGTTGTCATTTTGGGAAACTGGGATCATGCTTCATATGTGATGGTTGTGCTTTCTGATCCAAAAATGCTCATCCCACATTTTTGCAACATATAATGTGGTAATGGGCACAGACATCCCAATTTCCTCCATTATTGCCTTCCTATCAATAGTCCCAGGTTCTCTCTGTACAACAAAAATGTCTTATTATTATTCATATTAGCTGCCAGGGCAGTGATCCCAAAACATTGGAAAATCACACATACCCCAACGATGAAGAAGAGGGTCACCAAAATAACTCAAAACTCTCATTATGTAGCCCGTTCTAGTCATGACTCTCTGGGGTTCCTTGTTCCTCTTTCTTTGGACAACAGCTTCCAGCCCCTCAATCTTCTCTAGAAAATTTCTGTTTCTTGTTTTCCCCCATGCTCTTTACCTCCCTATTGCCTTTTATATGGCCAACATGTCTGGTGGGATCAAGGCACCACTGTATTTTTTCCTCGAGACAGATCCTCCCAGAATGTTTTGTATGGTTCAATAATGACATGTAATCAAGAGGTTCTTGTTTGGTTTTTACAGAAGAATATTTCTTATTATAATATTAACATCATATATTGTGAATAATTGTTGTTCACATGTACTTTTTTCTACCCTATGGTTTTGTGCCTTCTCCAGGTTTGATGGCTATATTTCTTACTTTGCAAATGGCTTAAAATGAGAAGAATATTTCTTATTATAATATTAACATCATATATTGTGAACAATTGTTGTTCCCATGTACTGTTTTCTATGGTTTTGTGCATTCTCTAGGTTTGATGGCTATATTTCTTACTTTGCAAATGGCTTAAAATTAATTCTGAAAGAAAAAAAAAACATTTCAAGCAATAATAGTAGATAATGAAGAGAAAACAAATAGCATAAATCGTATGCTCAAACTGCTGTGACCCTGCTGGATTCACACATGTCCACTTAGGAATAAAACATCTGCAAATAGTGAGTCAGCAGTATTACACCTGGGTGCTGTGGCTGTATTGGCAGTACAAACTGTTTTCCAGGGTTGATTCGGGATTTACAAGCCAATGTAATCTGTACAAAGTCCAGCAAACTGGACACATGCTAGAACATTTACTTACATTATTAGGATGGTTTTGATGGTGTTTCTGAAACAGTAAATTCCAAACTGAATATTTCAAGGTTGAAGAATAGCATTATTTTATTAAAGATGGAATATCATATAGGGCAACCTTCCCACACTGGTTTCGGTTATAAGTCCACACATAAAAATTAAGAGCAACATTTGGTAACACTGTATCAGGATTCATTAACACCGGAGCCTTGCACTAATCTTACAGTACTGTGCACTAGGTGCATTGCATTGCCATTCATGCCTCCCGGCATACATTTGTTACAGCCCAGCACAACACCGCGTTGCAGTGAGAAAATGTAGCATGTGCACTTCCTTTTTTTTCCCCACCGTGGTGCAGTGCAAGTTATTGAAGTACCCCACATTGTGCTCAACACACGTCCGCCGGGAGGTGCATTGGGGTGCCATTCAAATGGATGGAAGACAGTGTCTTATTTTCGGGGGAAACACAGTATCTTTAGGAACACATATACTGCACACATGCAATGGGAAAACTGTATTTCTTTCTAGGAGTTCTTCTATGTATCTTGGGGAAGTCTTCACACCTAAAAACACTATGAGGTCTATTCACAAAGCTGCCGAAGGATCTAGCCGTAGCTTCGGCCGATCCTTCGACTAGCTTCGGCCCCAGGACCCCTTCGTTCAGTAGAACCATAGGGGTGCTGTACGGGCTATTCAGTATAGCCCGTACAGATCCCGAACGTAGTCGAGCCGAACGCATATGCATTGGCTCGGCTGAGCCGCGCTGAAAGCCGAAGCTGGCTTTTTCTATTTATTTTTTTAAAACTTTTAAAACTATTTTTCTGTTCTGCTCGGTCCCTCTGAGGGACAGAGAACAGCCGAGCCGAATGCTGCTCAGCGGCATTCGGCTATTCACTCACTGCTGTTCGGCATCTATAAGAATAGGCCGAACAGCAGTGAGTAGCCTGCCGGAGGTTCGGCTCAGCCGATCCAGATGTTGGATCGGCTGAGTCGAACTCCTTCTGCACTTAGGGTCAGCGAACATGCACAGCATGTTTGGCCGACCTGAAGCCAATGCGAAGCAAGACGATGTACGGCTGAAATCAACGTCAAACGTGAAGTGAAGAGAGCTGAACAGTGTTCGGCTCTCTTCACTTCAGGTCGGTCATTCACTCGGCTGCCTGCACAGTATGAAAATGGTTCAAAGGCACAAATGCAAAATATGTCAGGTTAGGTGCAACAACTGCTTTCTAAATTGTGATTCTGACAAATTTGCCAATTCGAGGGTGGGTTGGCTTAGAAGTGTATTTAAAATAAAGTGCTTAAGACCTGTTGTGTCAGCTGCATACCAACATTTGTTTTTCAGACCCTCCAATGTAAATTATGTTTTGGCTGGTTTTATAGTGTTCTTGTTTATTGATAACAGGCAACTACGGAGCTTGAAATACCCATAAACCACAGACATACTAAGCCAGTTTTGGATGACAGACGAGTAGCCTCTCAGTAGGTTTGCATGGAACTCAAAAATCCATTCAAAATAGGGGGCATTCAAAGGCAGCAGAGTGAATAACCCAGCCGAAGTGAACGTACGGCTATTCACTTCAGGCTTGTATTGCTGATTTCATCCATACATCAGCTGAAATCAGCGATACATCGTATGCCTTCGGTCAGCTGAACATGCTCTGCATTTTCAGCTGAGCCGAAGTGCAGAAGGACTTTGAGCCCGAAGCTGCGGCAGCTCCCTCACTGCATTGCAATGAAAATAGTAAAAAAAAAAAAAAAAAATTAAAAAAAAGAAAGTTTTTTTTAAAAAGAAAGAAAAAAAAAATGAGCGGAGCTAGCAGTGACAGGTAACTCCGCCCAACTGTTTCATATTGGCCGCCCCCTGCTAGAGTCTTCTAGCAGGTCCAGGCCAATGAACAACTGGGCGGAACGGCTGGCTTCGCCCAGTTATTGTTTAATGACAATTTAGCATCCCCGGGTCATTTGGGGACACTGATCCGTCATTACAGCTGGCTCCGCTGTCATTTGCAGGGAGAAAGGCCGGCCTTCGGCTGCTGTACGGGCTATTGTGAATAGCCCATACTGCAGACCTTCAGTTCGACTGAACCGAAGGGTTTCGGCGGCCGAAAAGAGCCGAAGGATTAGCTGAAGCTAGGGAGTTTGACACAAAAGTCCCTAATGGCAAGGGGCCTTAATTATGTTTTTATGCAAGGTTCACACAAATTTCCAATTACAAATTTTTAAAATCTTGTGTAAATCTTTTGTGAAATAAATAGTCCACTGCTACTGCCGTTTAATAAAATGCAGAAATCAACAAAAAGATTTGCACACACTGTGGTATACAATCTTCAATGAGTTTAAGCAACAAACAACTGATAACATCAAATAAAAAATTTATTGCACGCTTTACTATATTAAAATATTGGTTCATATAAAATAGAGCTCAACAGTCACATAAAGACAATGTACATGGTCCAAAATATATATTGTTATCCACATAAATGTTGTTATTATTATTCCAGCTTTCTTCATGGAATCCTTTCAGCTCTGAAGGTTTTTGACATTTGTAAAAGCACCTTAAAAATAGAAAAATATTTAATTTGTACTATAAATAATTTAAAAAAAAAAGATTATCTATCTATCCACACACAAACACATTCATACTCAAAAAAAGATCTTGTATGAGAGTAAAGAAAATGTTATGAACCCTTCCAGTGGGGCTATTTCAGCACTGCAAGGGTTAACTGCATTTTTGTCTTGGTCCAAAAAAAAAAAAAAAAAGTTATACCCAAACAGCAGAGCCGACTCCCTGTTTCGCCGGTCTCGGAAGCATGTCTCCTCTCCTGCAGAGATGAAATGTTCCTCAGCGCTCTCACGTATAAACACTTGTATAGAATGTGATGACAAGGATTCTTAGACTGCTGCGGAGGACGGAGCGATGTGCTCTAGGGACCGATGTAAGAGCAAGCCGGCTTGAATGATCAGGTGAGTATAACTTTTTTTTTTATAAACAAATGAGCAGTGTGGGGGTAGCCCAACTCTTAGGGCCTGTTCACACGACGTCCGTTTTGTGTGCTGACCGGCTCCGTACGCTGCTGCACTCAAAATGCATCCCAATGTATCCCTACGCGTTTTATGGGCTCCAGTTCTCACGTGCGCAGTCCGTTCAGCTTACGACAGAAAAAATACTGCATGTCACATTTTGTCAGGTCCGGAAACGGAACGGATACGCAAACGCGTCAAAAACTCATCAAAAATGCACTGCGCTGCAGCTAACATACTAACAGCCCCACTCCAGCAATCTCTGGAACGCATCCAGAGATTGAACGCATCCAAAACGCAGCCAAAAACGCAATGCATCAGCAGCTCCACGTCTGCTGATCAGGACCTGATCTCATGTGAACAGGCCCTTAGGGTTAATTCATTTTTTCCCTAGAGTTCTTCTTTAAAATCTATTAATCTTTAGTTCTACTTTTGACATGTGACCAAAATGGAGATAACCAAAACAAATGGCAAACGCACTCATCAATTCATTACCAGCTTTACAGCAAGGTGCACACGGAAGGGCTTCAAACAGTAAAAAGTTTTGTAATCACATCACATTTTCTGCAGAAAACATGTATCTAAACCTCTGCTTTTAACCTTAGCGGTTGGACAGGTTTTTTTGCATGCTGACTGGTGAGTGTGCCTGGAAACGTTTTGCTGTTTCAAGATGGAAATAACGTTGCCTACATATATTTTATCAACAGTGATGTGCCAATTACTGGGTTGGGGTAGAGCTCCCTTAAGAGTGGAAAACATATCCTATTTTTCTCTGAATGGTACATTGCATCTAAATGAAGGACTGTGATTACAAAACGCTTAGAGGCGGACAAGCAGACAAAGACAGAACAGCACTCTAAACAGATGCTGTGCTGATCTTAGTGCTGGTACCCAACCAGCACTGATTATACCACCCTTGGAGCCCCTGCAGACAAGGAGGGCCTTTTCATGAGAGTTGATTACCACTCTTACAGGGTGGGTGAGGTGAATTTGCCAATAATTGACATCTGAATTATAGATCCAATCAGAGGGAGGACAGCCAAGGGTATAGTGGCTCATAGATACAGAACTAAGTGGATAACACTGACATCACAGAAAACAGTATGTCAAAACCAGCCGCTTGGAAAAGGACGCAGAAACACCCCAAAGTTTTGCAAAGTTTTGGTCACCAACTTTTTCATGTAAGCAACAATTTTTCTGAACAGTCAGACTCATTTTACCCAACATGAATCTTTACAGTTTATATGTTACTTGCACTACCTAATATAGATGACTAACACACCTGAGCGGAATATTTTCTGCTGGTAAAAAAACTGTTAAGATAGTTGCAGATAGAACGTGGACATAAACCTTAGCAGCAATTGAAGTAGTACATAAGATATTACTTACTGCCTTTTCTTCCGGGGAAAGGGCGCCCTCTACTGCCACAATCTGATACTGCTTATGTTTCAAGCCTGTAAAATGTTTACGGAGGGGTTTCACAGCAGCATTATCTATATTGAGTTTGGTCAGTTTCTGCAAAATGGCCGGTGGATGTCCAGGGTCAAATATTAGAAGACAGTAGGATTTGTTCTTTCGCTCCTCAATTCCCACTATAGTGCGGCTGTGACCTGTATTGATAAATGCGGTAGTTAAACGGTAGTTTAAAAGGAAGAAAAAAAAAGGGTTGAATTCATGTATGCTAATGGTCCTCCCCCAGCCAGGTGAGACATCCCCCGAAAATAAGACCTAGTGTCTTATTTCGTGCAAAAAAAATAAATAAGACACTGTCTTATTTTCGGGGAAACACGGTAAGTTGGTAACCCTTACAAATATTTTCTAATAAGGACAGAGCTGGCTAAACACAAAATATGTCCGACCTTCAGGCATCCAACCTTTAGCACATGCTATTGTTGTATCCTATGTTTTTAATGACATTGAGCCTGTGGAACAAAACATATACTTATCTAATCTTGAAGGGCAACCTAATGTTGAAGGTGTGAGCTTTGGTACGGTCTTCATTTTCCTAGATTTATCACTTAAAGTTATACTAAACTCAGGAGCTAAATCTTAGAAATGTACTCAAATACCCCAAATATTAACAAAAAGTAATGTTGTGTATCTTTCGGCTGTAGATCTTCCAATCATCTCTAAATTTGTACTGACACTGTCCTTCCTTCTGGAGGGTGGCTACTTTTGTTCCCCATGGTCCCTGTGTGTGTTGTAAAGTAGTCACTTCTCCAAGCTCACTCCTGTGATGTACTGCAATCTCAATACAAATCAGTAAACTAAACAAGAGATTGTAGTCTATCACAGGAGTGAGCTTGGTGAGGTCGAATTGAAAATCTACAGCTGAGTGATACACAAATTAGGTTCAGTATTGTTAATAGTTAAGGGACTTAAAGTGACATTAAACCCTCAGATTTTTTAACATAAAACAATACTGTAATGTGTGCCTTACTGTAATCCATGGTAGTTTCCCTTCTCTTTGCTGCTCTTCCTTTTAAATCTGTATCTGTTCTCATGCTCTGCAGAACTTCTGTTTTGCAGCAGACTGCCTTGTCTCAGGAATGGATATATGGTGTCTGTGTATAGGTTTGTATAGGCTTGTAATCTGAGCCAGCACTACAGGAAGACGCCCTGAGCTGAAAAAGGGAAGTTCTGCCCAAGCATGAGAAGACAAAAATCTGAGGTTTTAAGGTCACTTTAAGTACATTGTTAAGATTTAACTCCTGAGTTTAGGTTAGCGTAACCTTTAATGACCAATTTGAGTCTCAAAAATAAATATTGTATTCAGTCAAAGAGAAATTATATTAACAAGCACCTTGTTAATATAACAAGCGCTTTCCTGTTACAACTATTATTTAGGGTGTCTAAAAGATGACGGTGCATTCCAGCAGGCACCAGAGTTTGTCCATGCTGCCCAGTGCACTCCTTAATCAAACAGACCTGGTCAGATACACCCCCTCCCTCTTCCTCTGCACTACAAGTGTGTGTTTGAAGATGCTTATGATAAGGTGGGCGTCTATTCTATATCTATTCCATTATAGAGCACTGGAGTTGGTTGTTTTTTTTTTTTTTACCAAGAATCATAATCAGTGAAAAGATTTCAGGCGCACTTCTTACAACAGCATGATCAGTCAGGGAGAGGCTGCTGGAATGACCATGACTGATATGTTTATGATACATTTCAGGTACAGGGATATTGCAATGTATCTCTTTGCCTGAAATGTATCACTTCTGATCGTCTGAGCAGGATCAAAGACCTTTATGCGTGCTGTCAGGATCAGTCTCTAAGGTTATTATTAGCTGTTCCTAAGTTTGGAGCAGCCTAATAACCAAAAATTTAAAAAAGTTAATTTATCAAGCAGTCATAGTAACGGACAAGAAAAAAAACGTTTTTTTTTTTAAATTTTTTTTTTTTACAAATTAGGAAAATACAAATATATATATATATATATATTTTATACTATAATTATTATAAAAAAATTCTATAAAAAATAATAATCAAAAAAGTGTTTTCTTTACGTTTTTTTCCTCATTTTTTTATATTTTATTCGAACTAAGTGAGGCGTTAGGTACACATGTTTGATATAATTATATAGCCCTATCTGTTCTCTAAAAAACAATATATAATATGTGTGGGTGCACTTTGTAAGAAAGTATATTACTGCCATGGAAGAATCACACAGCAACAATGTAAAAAGCGTGTCAGTCATTTATGAACAGAAACTGAAAACTAGCTCAGTCATGAAGGGGTTAATACATGCTGTTTGCTTTCTCTAAAGAAAATGTGGGCAATAACTAAAATAAAAATGACTAGAAATAAAGTACAACTAAGAAAAGAAAAATTGTGCCTGCAAGAGTGTTGTAGCCTAGAGATCTAGAAATGTTGATAGCAAAGGCTGAGGTGCCTGCTTCACTTTAGCCAAGATGTGACCTGGAATTTGTCCACTCCTGACCTACACTACTAGTTTCTAAATCTGATACTACCTAAAAAAAACCCCCCCAAAATGAATGATCTTGTACTATAAATTAAAACGTATCAAACCCCTAAAAGCAAGAATGCAATATATTGCAGCTTACTAATGCTTAGATGTGGTGGCTGCATTAGTTTTCTTTATTCATGCTTTTTCCCTTTATTGTCACTTGGTGATCTGGCCAGTAAAGGTGGCCATACACCTTACGATTATTGGATGAAACTTTTCGTCCAATGATCGAAACGTCGTGCGACGGCCCCATCCTGCCCCGATGATCGCAGGATTAATTTAGCCGTAATTAACGAAAAGCACCTGGACGAAATGCGGTAATTGATTTGCCTTATTTTTGTTAGTGCAAGCGCAGTGTAGATCGTACGACTTGACGGACGGAAACGCCAGCAACCTTACGACAATCGTATGATCGAGCAAAGTTTTCAAACATGCTTGGCCGTCAAAAGTCGTACGATTGTACAGTAATGTCGGTCGGACACTGCAATGCACACATACGATTATCAGACGAAAAGTCGATCGCATACGAAAATCTTACGATAATCGTAAGGCGTATGGGCACCTTAAGTCTGTTATTTTTTACTTAACAGACCAGGCTGTCCATCAAATAGGCAGAAAGAGGGTTGAGACTAATCAATGCAAGTCTCTTTTAGGCAAGTGGTCTGATCAAGGACACCTGTCACTTTTTCAGGCAGATCTGATCAGAAGCCCAATGTAAAGTTGCCCATACACCTGCCGATTATCGTACGATAATCGCGGGTGATCCCGCGATCGTACGATAATCGGCAGGTGTATGGAAGGCGTGCGACCATTTCTACTGTACGGTCGCATGTCTTTTGTCTTCCGAGCACGTCACTAACCCGCCGAAAATCGCAAGATTTTCGGCGGGTTAGTGGCGTGCTCGGAAGACAAATGCCGAACGGGCCGGTGTGCAAGGCCGGTCTTGCACACTGCCCGCTCAGCACTGCAATCAGCGGGGAGGGCTTGCGATGATCGCAAGTAGGATCTGCCTGTCCAAGATCGGCAGATCCTACGAGATTTTAATTACCTTACAACCATCGCACAACGAAAGTCGTGCGATGGCTGTAAGGTGTATGGCCAGCTATAGTCTATGGGCAGCTGAATCTAAACGAATGTGCGTCCGTTCACATCCAATTACCACCTATGTCCAGGTCCCTAAATTAAAACGGAACACAGTTAAAACTAAAACGGATGAGTGGTAAAAGCTTTTAAAGCGTCGCCTACAGGAAATTTTAGGTATTGTAGATTTTCTGGCCGCCCGCAAATTTTAAGGAATGACATGTTTGGTAGTAATTTACCCAATGTGACTCCATCTTTTACCCCCCCCCCAAAATACTTTCTTGTGGGTTTTAAGCTGTTTTCTAACCAACAATTCTGATTTTTATCGTGTGTGCAAATATAAAACAATTTCTCTGGACGGCAAGTAGTTAATTTGTCAGTCAAGTCCATCTATATCTGCAGGTGCATCGAACACTGCCATCTCCACAGCGTGACAATGCTGCGGTCCTGGTGTGGCTGCATAAGTCCATAACATCGAGTGGTGCCACCCTAAAAAGTGCCCATACACCTTACAACCATCGCAAGACTTTTGTCTTGCGATGGTTGTAAGCTAATTAAAAGCTTGTACGATCTGCCCATCTTGGACAGGCAGATCATGCTTGCGATGACTGCAATGAGGGGCGGGCTTCCGATGACTGCAAACGCGCACACCGGCCTGTTCGGCAGTTGTCGAACAAGCAGGCCACTAACCCGCCGAGAATCGTACGATTCCTGGCGGGTTTTCAAGCCTGCTTGTTCGGCGGAAGACGTGCGACCGTACAGTAGAAACGGTCACACGCCTTCCATACACTTTGCGATTCTCGTATGATCACGGCATTTCCCACGATCCTCGTACGATAATCGTACAGTGTATGGGCACCTTTAGACAGAAGTGTGGGGCTTTAGGTTAAAAATAAAACAACTCAACAAGTTCAGAAGCCAATCAGCTATGAAATTGCACAATACCTTGGTGCTGTAAATAAATGGCAGGTTTGGTGGAGCACATGACTTTGCCTGCAGTATGACCAGCATCAGATGAATAGTAATTTTGAACCCATTCAAACAAGAGAGGATGTGTTCCTGATGAACTGCTTGGCTTGTGAAAATCAAGAATCCGACACCTGTGCAAAATAGAAGACAGGCAGATATGACCGACATTGGACATTTCACGGAGAACATTACACGTCGCATATAAAACGCCTCTGTGGAGTCCTCATATATGCTGTTACATGAATACGCTCTATTCATAAAAGGGGTTCCTATAAACACACACACATGTGTTTTTCCTTAAGCTGGCATGAATTTTTGAAGCATTTTTGTGAATGTTCTTGTACTCACTGTGAATTGGATGATATAGCGCAATGCTGGTTTGAGTTTTTTGTTGCTGTGCCTTGTACTGCATGTATTTTTCTAAAAGCAGTATGCCCCATTCTGCTGCATGGGGACTGCCTTCATTTCCTAATACCAGTCAGTGGCAAACGAGCAAAAAGCATCCTCCTGATTACCTAGCAGGCACAACACCAACCCACACTCACCCATTTGACTCCAGGCAACCATGGGCTGAAAGCAAGAGAGGAATGAGAGGAAGGGCTGAAGGAAGAGGAGAATAAATCAGAATACAGAAAGGGAGAGCATGGGAATAGGTGCAAATCTGACAACAAATTCTATTACATAACTCAGCATAGATTCCCGGAATGCAGAATTTGTGAGGCAACAAAAGAAACCTTTTGTGCTTACTGTGCGAGCATGTTAATGTAGCTAACTTCTAGAATTGAACTATGTTTTCAGATATATGTAAACAATTGTATAATATCAGTTTGGGCTTGTGTAGATGGGCAAAAGCAGCTTGTTTTTAGGTGCATTGAGCTTGCTTTTGAGCGAAGTTTGAGATGCTTCTAAGATCTGAGTTTCTTCACAGGCAGTACTGACTTCCTTTTGTACTGCTTCTAATAACCTCCCAAACTGCATCTGCATTCCCAACAATTGAGAGAAAAGCATGCGTTTACAGTATAAGCCATTAGGGCTCATCCATTAAAACAATTCTGTGGGCATCTATAAATTCTCCAAAGAGTTCCTTAAAAGGAGAACTATGAGGTGAGTGATTTCCACTCATCCTCATGGTTAGAGCCGACCTGTGACAAAAGAAGCTGTCACAGGTCAGCTCTATTGATCGGGAAGTGAGCAGAAACATGCACCGATCCGCTCACCTCCCGATCGTCTCCCTGCAGAGAGAGGCGAATGTTATTCATCACTACCCGCAGGGATTCTGCCATCCACTCTCCGATCCTCCAGCGCTGAATGGCGGAACGAACGGGGGAGGGGCAGGTACAGCTGGCTCTGCCTCTAGATAGGCAGAGTTCCTTGTCACTGACGCAGCTGGGAGGATCTCGACAGTATTGTTGGGATCAATCCCGGCTGCGGCACTCTCAGTATATCGCGGGCAATAGCCCGCTTTATACTGAGCTTTGGGTCACGGCAGGACGTTAGTATATGTCCTCCCATGACCCTAAAGAGAACTATGGGGAAAAACACTTACACCATAGTTCTCTTCTAAGTTTGTATTCTAACCCAAAGCAAGGTTAGCAGTCTCTTGGACAGGAATTCAAGAAAGGTGGTATTGGCTGGTGCTTGACTTTCATTTGTTTTTATTTTACACACTAGTAAAACTTACTTTAAATTCATAGACGTCAGAAGGCAATATATTTCACATGCTCCAATCCAGGCCCTTGTACCCTGTAATTTTCCCCTGAAGTGAGATGCACCCTGTGGATCAAATCCTTCCTTCCAGGCATTCTCTATCAAAGCTTGAATTTTGGGAATACAGGGGATATACCTGCAACCTTAAAAGATTAAAAATGCAATTTCATGACAATAAAAGGGAAATGCTTAAGTTAATAATAAGCTGTAATTTGGAATAACTCCTAAAAAGTAACATCTGAATAGTATTGATTTTACTTGTGCTCATCCTCAAATCATTCCATCGGAAACATTTTTTGCTCTGTAGTTTTTTCTTCTTCTTTCAAATCAGTTTTATTATTAAACCAACAATAAAAATGCACAAGACACAAAGCTAAGTCTACAGAATAATGATTCCGATAGCACAAAAGGAGTACAGCAATAATAATAATAAGTAAAAATAACAACTGTCTAGAACAGTAGGGTCTTCCTTGTGATCCAAGAAAAATTATGTATTAAAGTTATCTTGTGTAAAAATGGGAAATTATAAAACAGACAGAGCAGGAAAAGCAGCAAAAAGAAATGAAATGAAAGCATTAGAGTTGCACCGAAATGGAAATGTCAAAAAAAAAACTAAAGAAAATGTCAGGCCAAAACCGAAAATGTTTTTTATATTTTTTTTAAATTGTATTTTTTTTTATAAACTTTTATTTTTTTTATATTTATTCATTTTTTATTAATTATTTGTATTTCTTACTTTACTTTTAGGGAAATATTGGGGGTCTAAACAGACCCCGATATTTCCCTGTTAAAATAGAAAAAGAGATTGAGGACACAAAGTCCTCAATCTCCTTTTCTGCAGCCCCTGTTATCAATGAACAGGAATCAGCATTCCTGATCAAGAGCATTCATAACTTGAGGGCATGGTATGTTTACTATAACTACAATTATGAATGAACAGGAGGTGTTGTAGATCACTTCCCATTCATTCAGAATTGAGGATATAGTAAACATACCATGTCCTCAATTATCTACAAGCACTCATCGATCACTGATTGTATCTCGCTCTCCTCTCTGACACGCTGTCACAGGAGACAAAGCGAGTGGTGTCATTTTTCCTATGGGAGTGGTTTATTTTTATTCTCACTGTGTGATGTCTATTTAAGGTCGATGTATCTGTTACTTATGTGTCATTCTGAGCCTGATGAAGGGGACCCCTTGCGGCACCGAAAAGCGATTGTGTTGGATGGCAATGTGCCATTAAAATGGATCATTGATTTACAAAAATGGTGTGCTGGTGACATTATTTCTTTTTTTTCCACTATATGGTACAAACCCCAATAAATGTATTTTAATTTCAGGTTGCAATGCATTTAATAAAGAAAATTAATGAATTGTTCAAGGAAGCCTTTCATGAAAAATATATAGGAACACCAACGTCGGATGAATACGTTCGGGAGGCACTGTATGTATAAAAGAGTAAACCAGGATGTTATGTATATTCTATGAATAATACCTTGTGCACAGTTTCTGTAGGAGTCACTCGCCAATACAGAAGAAAGAAGCATTTGCAAATTTCGGAAACCACAGCCCCATCCATTGTCTCCTGCAGCATTACTGAAGTGGTCCAATGGAGAACAGAGCCAGACACGATTGACCTCAGGAGCAGCGCTGTTATAATATTGGCGTAAAGCATCCAGAACACCTACAAAAGTAGAAACCATATAAAGCTATCAGATAAATGACCAGTCCTACAAGTTACATGATCTGACCCGAAGGATGGTGTGTGTGTATATTGTGCAGTTCAGCTGCGTTTGTTTTGGAAATCCTAATTTTATTCTACAAAGCAATACAAAACAGATATGGCTCAGCAGATGCATTCGGTAATCACCTTTTCATTTGGAGAGAATTCAAATATAAGAAGGGTAAGGCATGGGTATTAGATTTAAAGTGTCTTTATAACCAAAAACTCTTTTTGGATATATTAGGATTTTATTTATTTTTTGGTATAGTGGGAAACAGCTAAAACACCATCATTTTTTTCCTGTCTGTTTTGTTGAGCAGATTTCCCTTCACTTCCTGTGCCAGCAACGTAACAGGAAAAAAAAAAAGAAAAAAGAAAAATCTACAAAGTGGAGGGAATTCCCCTCCTAGATAGACTTCATCGGAACAAATTGGAAGATTTACCTTCACCCCCTTTTCTAGTGACAACTGTAAAATGCTGGATTTCCTATCACTTTCCAGCTTGATGCCAATGGCCCCTTGGACAAATAATAATAAATCTATAACTTTTGTGCTGTTGAATGCACACATACTGTCTTTGCATGGATACCTTGAAATCCCACTATGTACCAAGTTTTATTGACATCTAAATAAAAACCTAAATGTAAAAAAATACTATGTATATTCCCTCACAGTTTACTGCATTTAGTAGTGGAGGAACACAACAATCCCCACAGGACTATGGACCAGAATGCAAGCCATCCAAACTTGTATTTGTATGCTGCCGACAGGAATTGTGTAGTGTTTGATATAAAGTCTTCTCAAAATAAAAAACTAAAAGTAAAACCTCTAACCTGATGTTTTAGTTTTTCCATCATCTAATCCAGTAGCTATAGACTCCATTATCTGAGCTTTCTGTAGGTGAAATTCCATAGGCTGTAGCCGTCCCCTTGCAACAGCCCTTTCTAGACTCTGCACGGATTGTTGACGATAGCCTCCAGAATTGTCTAACCCAAACTGTCTCTGAATAGAGGTAAGGCAACACATTAGAAATCCCAACAATACTTGTAGTTTTACAATGTTAAGACATGTGGCAGAGTCCGCTATTCTGTTAGTTATTCTGAATTAAAAACACACAAACATCACTGGCTTTAGAAGAGAAACTATAGTGTGTTTTCAGACATGTGAGAACTTGTCACTGTTGAAGCTGAACTTCAGATAAACAGCTAAATACAAAGTTAGAATGAACAAGGGTGTCTTTTTTGCCTAAAGATTTGTAAACCTGTCCAGACACTTTTTATACACTATTGCCATACAGCACAGCCAAGAGGATGACACCACTTTCTCGGTTAGCTTTAAGGGATACAGTGGTGTCATCTCCCTGCCCTGCTGATTGGACAATGCTAAGGACCAATCTACGTCATTCAACTGTCAAATGCCAGAATTTGACGGGCACTAGATGCCCAAACATTTGACAGTTAAAAAGGATGGGGCTTAACAATTTTCTTAATGAGAGGGTAGTAACTCAGGTACGTGGAGGCACCACATGGTTCCAGACCTTTAACTCTGTTGCTGCTTTAGAAACCTTTTTTTTTCCCCCCATGATCATTTTCACCCTTTAACGTCCCTGCCAGCATTTCTTCAGTGAACTCCGGCTTCCTGCTAGCTGTAAAGCCACCCAATGTCTTCTAGGAGTCCCGCATCAAGCCGCTGCCCGGTTCTCTCCCCCCTGCCTCCTGTGGGCACAGGACTAGCATGGCGGGTGTCAGCGGGAAGAGCAGGAGACAAGTGTTTGCCAATTGTCTCTGCACCGAATAAAGCTGGAAGCAATGGAAGCCACTTCCGGTTTCAGAGCTGTCATTCCCTGGCTGCTGTGGCCAGGATGAAGCTAATCAAGAATAATCTGTGCTTGATTAGCTATATTGGACTGCAAAGGCGACATTACGGGTCTCTAATAACTCCTTAAAGATAACCTGTCACCTCCATTGTGCTATCACATAAGGGGTTTGTTAGCCCCCCACATATGATAGCAATAACGGGTGGAAAAATACATTAAATAAAGCTAAAATCAATTAAAACCCCTCTCCCAAAAATGGATTTATTGTAAAAGTTTTTTTCATTCTCAAAGATCACAACAAAGACTCTGAAGTCAGGTTTCAGTGGGTTTTGAACAGCTTGGGAACACATACTGTGTGTGTATAGTAGAGAGCTGACAGCCCATCAGGATCTGCTCTACCAGAAAAAAAGATTTCACTGAGTTGTCAACATTACATTTAATTTGCTCCACAATATAGATTATAAATCTATAGATATATCTAGATATATAATGCAATATAAATGTAGTATGGTATTGTCTTTTTTGACATTTTGTCTATATATATATATTATACACACACACACACACACACACACACACACACACACACACACACAATGAGGGTTCACTTTAAAGTGTTTTTACTGCTTGTTCAGAAATACTGAGTATTTTATTGTGCATGATCTGTGCACTGGTTCACTTCAAGGTAACATGTTAGTACCTGTAATTTCCTAAATTCCTCCTTCTCTTTCTCAGACTCTTCCGCTCTTCTTTTTTTGTCTTCATCAGCCTGTAGCTGTCTGGCCAGCATAAAATCTCTGGAAACTTTATCAGCAGAAGCTAGAAAAAAAAAACAATTAGTAAAACTACATTAAAAAGTAGAATCAAGCACTGCAGCTTGTAGTGCTTCCAGTATTGTATACAATAAAGTATTAAGTGAAATGTGCTTTTCACAGTACACAGCAAAACATATCTTTACATATCAAAACATAACATTTATTAATCCATATTAATAAAACACCCTTTGTGCATGGAGTAAATATCCTCCTTTAAACCATATTGTCTGTTATGCAGAGGGTGCTAAAGTTGATTCACATTTGTCTTGTATTATAGCAGTGATCCCATCCCATGGGAACTTTATGCTTCAAAAAATGGGTAGCGCCAATGGGTTTTTTTTTCTCAATGTGTTTCTCTATAGTTGCTTTATCTGGAGGGAGGTGTTCTATAGTACCAATAAATACAACAGGGTAAAGATTAAGGATGTTCAGATACTAGTGTCGATATTGGCATTTTCGCAAGAACAACCAGGGTCGCAGCAGTTGCAGCTGCGATTGGGCCCTGTCGCTCCTCCACTATTCTGAAATCATTACTCTGTATTGTTTTAGAAAAACTCTAAAAAAACATAACAAAAATGTATCAGTACTTGTATCTGTGAGTACCTGGGAAGGTATCAGTACTTGTACTTAGTCTGAAAAAAATGGTATTGGTGTAAATATATATCACAAATCATAGATTAAAACAGGGATGCACAAATCCTAGGAGCCCCGTAGGCCAATGCTCATTAAAAATGACAGCTGCCTCCCAACTTTGAGCTTTTCTATAGTCTGGTCTTGGAAAAATACAGTACTTGGTATCTGAACATCCCTAGTAATTTAT